TGTCTGTCATTTCCAGCTATAGAGTCGTTTTGAACATACTTTAGCACAACTTAGGCAGTTAACCTGCGTGGAAGGGCTCGACTACACAAGATTTCAAGATCACTAGAAATTTCCCCTGATGGGCAAGCGAACATATGTTTGGAGGGTTCAGGAGTGGAAGGAGTGGGGGGGGGGGGGGGTTTGGGAGCCATTGCTTAAAAGTCCCCTCATACACGTGACCATCACCGCAATATCGCTGGTGGTTTTTTTCTCATGTTGGAGTTGCTCTTGCAGCCGCTCCTTCTCCTGCTGTGACTGCTGCTGGTGTTTCTGCAACCGGTCACAAAGGGCAGCCACTGCTTGAACAGTGGAGCGACCCAATTGCGAAGTGGTAGGGAGGCTGACGTTGCGATCTGTCTCATTTTGATCCAGTTCCTTATCCCCCACTTCCAGTTGACTGTGGTGGTCAGCTGTGGGTGGTCCCCTCACAGTAGGTGATCATTATCCCAGAACCAGGAAGTGGCCATTCTATATCAGGGGAAGGCCGACCACTGGCAGAAGATGCAGCACCTGGTTCTTGTGTGGGAGCTGGGATGATGGCAGGAGTCTTTGGTCTGGTACCGGTCCCCTTGTGCACTTCGTAATTTAAAGGGGGGTGAGTTTGGCAACCAGCTGGAGCGAACATCACCACCAGGTGGATCTGAACAGCGAGTGGGACTGATGGCAGCATTTGGCAACTGCTCCTCATGGTGGTGTGAAGGGGCTGGCGAGTGTTGTGTCAACACCTCCGGGAAGCAGGTTGCTGGCACCTGACGGACAGGCGCAGGTTGAACAGAAACATGTCGTCTGGCCCCGTGGTGCACTTGGTGCTTGGCAGATGGTGAAGTATTTGGTATCCAGCTGCTACGAATACTCAGTCCAGGTGACTCTGCACAGGAATTAGAGCCGGCAGCAGTACCCGGCAATCGTCCTCCCGGGTGGGCGGGGCTGGGCTCCTGACCGTAAGCAGCTGGGCGCTTGACACAGTCAAGGTGCCAGGCTTGAACACCGCTCCTGCCACAGTTTATGAATTTTTCACTTAATAAGTGCAGTTCCTTTATAAGTTTAAAACACACCTCAGATTTATGAGGTTCACCACACATGGCACAAACAAAAGTTTTTCCTTATGCAGTGCCTGGGCCACATGACATACCCATCGTTGACACTTGTAACACCTACGAGGGGGATGGTTGTAGAGTGCTATGTTATAGTGCCGATCTAAAGCTGCTCTACAGTAATTTCTGTCAGGTATAGGTGTGGCACCTTTCCATGAGGCAGCTATGAGGTCATTTCTCAGACGTTTAGGGTTTACTATATTTTCACCACAGAGATATACAGGCTAATGAGTTTAATAACATTGAATATGACAATGGTTACTTTTGGACACCTAGGTGTTGCATTTTTCATCTTAATACCTGCATACTCTGTGTTTAGCAACACATTTACAAAAGCACGGTCGTTTGTAACGAAGACATAGTCACTTTTATCTCTAGGTAACTTAATGACCTTATCATAGTGTGCATCAGAGGCTTCACAAAACCACTGCACTTTTCCCTCCATATGTGGTTCCCACAGGAAAATCTTGCCATACATGTCTGGCAGCAGCCGAATTTGGTGGGATTGATCGTGCCCTTCTCGACTGCTTACGGCGCTGACTTTTACTCATTTGCACCGTGAATCCCCCATCATCTGCACCGCCTCTGATGTGTCATGGGACACCACTGAGGAGGTGGCACCATCAGTAGAAAGCAATTGATGAGCGTGCGAGGGGTCCACAAAATCACTGTCTGGCAACGGCGATGTGCTGCCCGGCATCTTATCCGTGGCAGTTGACATGATGGTAAAGACACAACACCTATATGCAGAGTATTACAGTACACTCGCTTCACAGTGAACCACAAAGCAGCACATCAGCAAATGGCCTATTCACAGGGTGGAAGGGGCCGCCAACCATCAAACAAAATCAGCAGAAATAAATTGACCAGCCTGCATATATGAGGCTCCACTATTTTCAAGGTCACAGCGCACCTTGCAGGTTGACGCGCGAAATTTGAAGTTAGTGGCACATGCATAAGTATCTGCTCAACACTCGACAATGCTTGACATACACGGCAACAAACCGTAGTACTTGAGAGCTGGTGGAGAGATGTGCAAGAAGCATGTTGATCATGAAGGCGTTCCTGGCACCATATCCTTATTCCCTGGCCGCAGAGGTGCTAGGCCTAGGCCTAGGTGCTAGGAGTTATAGTTGGTGCCATACCAGTGCCCTTACACCAACGGCTCCTTTGTTTATCCCACACAGTTTTGTAATTAAAGTTTCTAACCATACACAATCGTCACAGCACTACTTTACATCAACTAATGTAGAAGTGGGAGAGTTAAGGCATGACTCTAAGTATCTCCTTTAAACTGAGGCTGCATTGTTTCGTGGTCACTAGCGTCTTCGATCGAAGAAGAAAGCAAACACGGCTCAGCGGTAGTATGGCGCAAGAGCTATTGTCGTGTACCTGGTATACGTGTGGTTAAGGCCCAATAGGAGAGTGAGGAGGGGACGCCTGAGGCCTAATCAACTGCCTCTCCTCGTAGATCAGCAACACAGTTACAAATGCCACTTGTAATTCACCAGTGCAGGTGATAACCAAGTTTCAGACAAAATGGTGTGTATGTGTGTGTCCCAGATTGGTTATTAGGCTTCGTAACTGCAGGAGGTACAATTACACCCCCAATAACGAGTGCAAACGCATGGGAGGACCCTCAAACGTCCGTCCCCTACGCTGCCTATGGCACGACTTTGAAAGTCAACAACAACAAAGCCAGGACTCAAGTTCATGTTGGGTGCGTTGTGTATTAGAGCTGATTCAACAAAACGGCGTCTGTGTAGAGTAAACACAGGAAAGATTATTTTGGAGGAAGACCATTCAATAGGATGATTAGAATCCCTAACATGACAGAAGAGAGCATTGTTTTTGTCTGCAGAATTAACACTTCTTTTGTATTCAGTAAGTGTACGGCCAGTTTCACCAAAGTATTGAAGAGGACAAGGCGAACAGGAAATAGAGAAGAAATCAGCAGCATAAGAAGCAGGAGGAGGAACAGTGTGGACTGCTACGAAGTGTGTTAGTTTGTCGAAGGGCGAGCTTTGTCATAGAGACGAAAGGTATTAGTAAAAGTTTTGAGTTCAGATATGAAGGAAAGGCAGAGCACATTCGTCATCGTCCCTTCACTTTTTAGTGTGTGGTTTGATCAACAAGATGAACAGGTTCGTAAGTGCTTTTGTAACTGCTTCGTGAATCTGGTCCCAGGTTGGTTTGCCTTAAGCCTGGCTTTCCAAACCATTACTGATCTGAATGTCAAAATGGGTTTCAGTACACCATTTTTCCTGCTTTTGTTTTACCTTAAGTTCTTTGAGATTAGAGAAAATGTTGGTTAAATGACATCTTTACTACCCACTCTTCACTGGAAAATAACTGTCACAGAAGGATTTTTAAAAAAAGGAAAATATGAATCTCAATACCTACATCTAAAGTCCTAGTTATAATTCGTCCAATGGAAAAGGTCCTAACTAATAAGGTACAATAACTGGCATCGATCAGCTACAATCCCTAGGTGGTGCATACTCTAGATGAGATCGAACTTGTGCTTCATATAAGGTTTTGCAGCCCTTGCTTTCAAGAAGGTGGGAGATGCGCCTAAGGGCTGTAAGTTTCATAGCTGCCTTTTTAGCCAGGTTAAGCACGTGGCTGGTCATTGTCATGGAAGAGTCGAAATTATCAATATGTCACTTTCATCTCTAAACTCCAGGTTTTTGCCACCCATTTGCAAGCCTGTCTGATTTGCAATATGCAGTCTGTCTTCTCAGTCTCAAATGTGACCTGCCATATCCTTCTGCAGATAGAAATTGATGAAAGTTGGTGATGAGTCTTGTAACAGGTGGTATTTCTTCCTTCCCATATGTAAAGGCTAGACTTCTCTCATCGGCATAGGCTTGAGCTTGAGGAATGAAATGAAGTTTATCTTTGAAATGGACATTCCACAGCAGAGGACCAAGCACACTACTCTGTGGAGCGTTGGCACCAATTAAGTGACTTTCGGATTCTGTTAAATTGAGGCCTACTTTTAGAGTCCGATCTTGATGGGTCGATTTTATTAACTCTAAGATGGAACCTGAGATGCGTAGTGCTTGAAGCTTCACTACTAATCCAGAGAGCAAGACCCGATCAAAGGCGCCTGCTATATCTGGAGCAACAACACTGGTGATCTTGAACTCATCCAGTGACTGATGCCACTTAATGTAGAAATTTAGCAAGAGATCTGCAGCAGATCGGTTTTTTCAAAAAACCACACTGTTGATCTCTCTCTCTGATACTCTCTCCCTCCCCCATGATGTGGTAGTGGGTGGCGGTGGTGGCCGCCCTGGTGGGGACCCTCTGGAAAGGTGTACACAAAGTGTCAAATGGTCAGAGTGTTGACCAATACATGCCACATGTCCCGCACCCTAGTCAAGAACTGTATGTCCCCCGTTACTTTGCCCACCTTTTCTCTCATGAAACATCTTAGTGAGCACAGAATCAGAATAAGAAGTACAATCTTCGTAAAAAAAATACCTGATGATTGTGTAGGATTTAAAGTATACAAAGTCAATATATTTCTTATAGATAGTTAAGGCTGGATTAAGCATCGAATTTAGCATGTTTAATTCATGGATTGATTGTGATTAATTCTCCACAATCACCACACTACTGTACTCCTTACTCACCCACGGTGCCAACCACAACAGTTGTGTGTATCGCACAGTAAGAGTCAGGCTTATGGAGCAACCCGTCCTCTTAAAAATAAAGTCACTTTTGGCCCGTATGTTCACTATGGCCAAATTTGGACGTAATTTGAAATGAAATCGACTCGCAAAAGTGACGTACTGTTCCGTTTTCTGTTTGAGTCATCCGGCCCTTCTCGGACAGCGAGCCCTATCAGTCGGCCTGGAGGCTCCGAGGCGTGTGGATGTGTCGCTCCCGCTGGTCAGAGATGAGGTTAGTCATGTTACCACATTGTTCTGTAGTTACTATAGAGGTGTGTGGATTACTATGGGGTGTGTTCATTATTATGGGATTACTATGGAGTGTGTTCATTATTATAGGATTACTATGGGGTGTGTTCATTATTAGAGGATTACTATGGGGTGTGCTCATCATTATGGGATTACTATGGGGTGTGTTCATTATTATAGGATTACTATGGGGTGTGTTCATTATTAGGGGGATTACTATGGGGTGTGTTGGGTGCTATGGGAGTATTGATTGTTAAGATGGGTGTTAAGATCAACACAATACGTGTGTTGATTGTTAGGAGATTACTATGGGCGTGTTGTTTGTTAAGGTGTTACTATGGGTGCATGGATTATTAGGGTATTACTATGGGTGTGTGTTGATTATTAGGGTATTACTATGGGTGTGTGTTGATTATTAGGGTATTACTATGGGTGTGTTGATTATTTTGGGATTACTATGGGTGTGTGTTGATTGTTAGCGGTTACTATGGATGTTTGTTGGATTGTTAGGGGATTACTATGGGTATGTTTTGATTGTTAGGGATTACTTAGGTGGGTATTGATTGTTAGGTGATTACTGTGGGTGTGTTGGTTATTATCGGATTACTATAGGTGTGTGTTGATTGTTAGGGGATTACTATGGGTGTGTTAATTGTTAGTGTTACTATAGGTGTGCTGATAGATAAGGTGACCCCTGACCACTCCCAGCTTCCTCATGACCGCAGATTACTCCACCTTCCTCATGACCCCAGACGACCCCCACCTTCATGACCCCAGACGACCCCCACCTTCCTCATGACCCCAGACGACCCCCACCTTCATGACCCCAGACGACCCCCACCTTCCTCATGACCCCAGACGACCCCCACCTTCATGACCCCAGACGACCCCCACCTTCATGACCCCAGACGACCCCCACCTTCCTCATGACCCCAGACGACCCCATCTTGTTCATAACCCCAGACGACCCCCCACCTTCTTCATGACTACAGACGACCCACACCTTCCTCATGACCCCAGACGACCCCACCTTCCTCATGACCCCAGACGACCCCCCACCTTCCTCATGACCCCAGACGACCCCCACCTTCTTCATGACCCCAGACGACCCCCACCTTCCTCATGACCCCAGACGACCCCCCACCTTCCTCATGACCCTAGACGACCCCATCTTCTTCATGACCCCAGACGACCTCCACCTTCCTCATGACCCCAGACGACCCCCACCTTCCTCATGACTCCAGACGACCCCCACCTTCCTCATGGCCCCAGACGACCCCCACCTTCTTCATGACCACAGACGACCCCACCTTCCTCATGACCCCTGACGACCCCCACATTTTTCATGACCCCAGACGACCCCATCTTCATGACCCCAGACGACCTCCACCTTCCTCATGACCCCAGACGACCCCCACCTCCCGCATGACCCCAGACGACCCCCCACCTTCCTCATGACCCCAGACGACCCCCACCTTCCTCATGACCAAAGACGACCCCCCCTTCCTCATGACCCCAGTCGACCCCCACCTTTCTCAGGACCCCAGACGACCCCCACCTTCCTCATGACCCCAGACGACCCCCACCTTCTTCATGACCCCAGACGACCCCCACCTTCCTAATAACCCCAGACGACCCCCACCTTCCTCGTGACCCCAGACGACTCCCACCTTCCTCATGACCCCCACCTTCCTAATGACCCCAGACGACCCCCACCTTCCTAATAACCCCAGATGACCCCCACCTTCCTAATGACCCCAGACGACCCCCACCTTCCTAATAACCCCAGATGACCCCCACCTTTCTAATGACCCCAGACGACCCTCACCTTCCTCATGACCCCAGACGACCCCACCTTCCTCATGACCCCAGACGACACCCACCTTCCTCATGACCCCAAACGACCCCCCACCTTCTTCATGACCTGAGACGACCCCACTTTCCTCATGACCTGACACGACCCCCCACCTTCCTCACGACCCCAGACGACCCCCACCTTCCTCATGACCCCAGACGACCCCAACCTTCCTCATGACCCCAACTTCCTCATGACCTGAGACGACCCCCACCTTCCTCATGACCCCAACTTCCTCATGACCCCAGACGACCCCCACCTTCCTCATGACCCCAACTTCCTCATGACCTGAGACGACCCCCACCTTCCTCATGACCCCATATGACCCCAGCTTCCTCATTACCTTGCACCATGAGTTACAAGGGAGACAACTTCTTGCCTCTAACTCGCCACTTGCCTTATAAGGCTCCTGAACCAGTTTGGTAAGCAGTTAGGGTAAGTGACCTCGCCTGTCACCGCCTCCAGGAACGGGGCCCGCCAATCCTAACAGATGGAAGTCTACAAACATTAACTAATAGCTTTAATATAAAAATAGATATTGAGTATTAAAGTTATTAGTAATTTTTTTAATTAAATAACAACTAGTTAGTGTATGAATGCTACAAGTTAGTAAGGAAGAGCTAAACCAGTTATGACGAGCCGGTAGGATGATGTGAGATCTGTGAGAGAAACAAAATACTCTCAGGCAGCAGTCAATGAAATGCGGGTTGTGACATAAGAGATGCCCAAGAAATTTGTAAAAAAGAATCCAAGATAGACTGCTTGAAGCGTTCATCAAAGAGCAAGCCGAAGGCAAACACCTTTTGCCCTTCCACTGCATAAATTGCAAAACTCGGATTGCAAGAGCCTGTTCAATGAACCCAACACTGCCATGAAGAATACGGACGAGAGAAATGCGAAGTTTTAGTTTAGTTCATTTATTATGCACCCTATACCCATCATGTGGGCGGTAATGGAAAGGGTTACAGAGGCACATAATGGGCCCGGAGACTGAACCCCACAATTCATTTAGCTAAAGAAGTTACAATCTTGATGAGCTAGTTACAAAATTCATTATAAGTCGTCTCATCATAAACGGATTCGAGATCGACCACAAGTACATACGAAGGAAATGAAAAATATTGAAGACATAATAAAAGAGGCTTCAGGTAGGTCAGACAGTAGTAAGGGACTACAGGAGGGCCAGGAAGCTGAAGTGAACCTGTTTATACATTTACAACACTTGAATAATAGCAACCATCTAGGCAGGATTCCCGTGGTCAATCAGGTGATCCCTGAGGGTGAGACACTCAGGTTAACCCTGAGTGTGAGACACTCAGGTGAACCCTGAGGGTGAGACACTCAGGTTAACCCTGAGGGTGAGACACTCAAGTTAACCCTGAGTGTGAGACTCAGGTGAACCCTGAGGGTGAGACACTCAGGTGAACCCTGAGGGTGAGACACTCAGGTGATCCCTGAGGGTGAGACACTCAGGTGAACCCTGAGGGTGAGACACTCAGGTGAACCCTGAGGGTGAGACACTCAGGTGAACCCTGAGGGTGAGACACTCAGGTTAACCCTGAGGGTGAGACACTCAGGTTAACCCTGAGGGTGAGACACTCAGGTTAACCCTGAGGGTGAGACACTCAGGTTAACCCTGAGGGTGAGACACTCAGGTTAACCCTGAGGGTGAGACACTCAGGTTAACCCTGAGGGTGAGACACTCAGGTTAACCCTGAGGGTGAGACACTCAGGTTAACCCTGAGGGTGAGACACTCAGGTTAACCCTGAGGGTGAGACACTCAGGTTAACCCTGAGGGTGAGACACTCAGGTTAACCCTGAGGGTGAGACACTCAGGTTAACCCTGAGGGTGAGACACTCAGGTTAACCCTGAGGGTGAGACACTCAGGTTAACCCTGAGGGTGAGACACTCAGGTTAACCCTGAGGGTGAGACACTCAGGTTAACCCTGAGGGTGAGACACTCAGGTTAACCCTGAGGGTGAGACACTCAGGTTAACCCTGAGGGAGAGACACTCAGGTTAACCCTGAGGGTGAGACACTCAGGTTAACCCTGAGGGTGAGACACTCAGGTTAACCCTGAGGGTGAGACACTCAGGTTAACCCTGAGGGTGAGACACTCAGGTTAACCCTGAGGGTGAGACACTCAGGTTAACCCTGAGGGTGAGACACTCAGGTTAACCCTGAGGGTGAGACACTCAGGTTAACCCTGAGGGTGAGACACTCAGGTGAACCCTGAGGGTGAGACACTCAGGTGAACCCTGAGGGTGAGACACTCAGGTGAACCCTGAGGGTGAGACACTCAGGTGAACCCTGAGGGTGAGACACTCAGGTGAACCCTGAGGGTGAGACACTCAGGTGAACCCTGAGGGTGAGACACTCAGGTGAACACTGAGGGTGAGACACTCAGGTGAACACTGAGGGTGAGACACTCAGGTTTACCCTGAGGGTGAGACACTCAGGTGAACCCTGAGGGTGAGACACTCAGGTGAACCCTGAGGGTGAGACACTCAGGTGAACCCTGAGGGTGAGACACTCAGGTGAACCCTGAGGGTGAGACACTCAGGTGAACCCTGAGGGTGAGACACTCAGGTGAACCCTGAGGGTGAGACACTCAGGTGAACCCTGAGGGTGAGACACTCAGGTGAACCCTGAGGGTGAGACACTCAGGTGAACCCTGAGGGTGAGACACTCAGGTGAACCCTGAGGGTGAGACACTCAGGTGAACCCTGAGGGTGAGACACTCAGGTGAACCCTGAGGGTGAGACACTCAGGTGAACCCTGAGGGTGAGACACTCAGGTGAACCCTGAGGGTGAGACACTCAGGTGAACCCTGAGGGTGAGACACTCAGGTGAACCCTGAGGGTGAGACACTCAGGTGAGCCCTGAGGGTGAGACACTCAGAAGAACACACTGAATGCCGGCGGAGTTAACAACAAGGGCTTGGAATCCCTGGAGAATGAATCAGAAGGGAAGGGAACTATCAGGAGAAAGCACCAAGCAGTTATGACTGTATAAGACTTGGAAGGTCGGGGATTGAACGCCAACCTGCATAAAGCGAGAGGAACCTCATTTAAGGAACGTTGCACAAGAAGAAGACTAGCACGATCAGCAAATCTTTGAGACAAC